AATGAATTAATTTCCTAATAGAAATGCAAACAAGAAGACACCTCACCTTTTTTAAAGTTAGTTTATTTGAGCATTCTTGTTCCAATTTTGAGCCGCTGCGCAGCACTGCATTCAGGGAGGACTCATAGCTTGGCAGCAGCTGAATTAACTCAAGAGATTTTTCTGAAAACACAGATGGAAATCGAATTTCAAATACAAGACCTTTTAATTCAATGTGTTTTAATTTACCTTTAGTGCGTGGAATTTGAATTCGATCTCAGGGGCAGTTTTCTTTCTAAATTGTTTGAAATTTTACAAACTTAGGAGCAATACATCCGCACAGGTCCAGGTCTTCTCTCCAACTGACGCCAAGCCAAAGTTTTGGAGGGAAGCTTCGGAAAAACGACCGTTGGCTATTTTTGAAAAGGAATTTCTCGAAAGTTGCTGATAAACAAGCGCGATTCTCTTGGGCGCGTTCCGATCAGACCAGAAATTTTGTCTGATCGCTGATCGGACACTCCGTTCATTCACGCTGATCGTCTCATGTAGAAGAACTGGGTCGCATATTTTGTCCGATCAGTGATTGTAAGGACTATTCTTTACGATCTAGATCGGACAATTTATACAATCACTTTTAGGTGATCAAAAATCTCACTTTACTTCCGATCAGATCGGATACATTATACGATTGATCGGAAGGATTTGCTCCATACGATCACGCTCGGACATCCAGTCTCTCCGTGCGTTGATTCATAAAGTCAAGAGATTTTTTGGATGTACTCAATCGTGTAGTGGATCTTTTGTGTGTTCAAGAAAGAAAAGTGAGGAACGAGGTAGGTAGGAGCCCTGGCGCGCGCTCGGCGAGGGGCTCGAGGGCCCGCTGAGAGCCACTCGTCGCGCGGGGCCCTTTCCTCGCTCGCTCGCGGGCACATGCCGCTCTCTTCAATTTCATTCAAGTTTCAGCTTCTTTCGCTGCAACAGACGGTACACAACGAGGAACTCTTGAATTTTAAAAGTGCGCACATCGCCCCAGGACCATCAAACGGTTTCATGCGAAAATTCAGCTGTTGCGCTTCTTATTTTTTTTTTCAAAATCGTAAAAAATAATTATAATACTTCAAAAAGATAAAAATATTTACAAATTATTTTATTTAAAAGCATTGTCAAGCCACGTTTTGTTTCAAAAATCATTATAAAAGCCTGATTTACTGCTCAAAACGTCTCATCTTGTAATTAGAACATTTAATTATTTTGAAATTATCAGAATTTGTGTTTAAATTAAACACCAAACAAAAGATTGAAAATGACTCCCATTTGAAATCAGTCTGCAAAACTTGTAATATTATATAATATTGCAATAAAAAATTTAAATTTCTCTTGAAATTTAATCATTTAAATAAAGGTGATGATAAGAAGCTTATAATTATTGTTTTTGAATCGATATTTATTTTATTAATTTTAGGTACAATTTTATAAAAAATTGTCAGAGGATTCAAAAATATTTTTGAAATTAGTACACCTAATTTAGGAAATAATGACCTTGTGATAACGACCCATATATAACATTTCAGGAAAAAAGATGAGCAATTCAGTTTAAAAAAATGAATATTCAATCTGTGAAACATGTTGGCACTCGAGGAGAATAAATCATATAATAAACTCCTTGAATTAAAGGAAAGGGACTTGATTTTTTTGCAATTTTTGTTTATCACTTTTTGAAACCAATTTTATCAAACAACTTGGTTTTCTTTTATATTTGCAAATTGTGTTTATTGATCTATCAAAAAGCTACTTTTCAAAGAAGAAAGGATGTTTAACGTATTTCTACAAAACAACCACCATGGCAAGAAATTTGTCTCAACAATTAAATTGCATTAATGATCAGAAAAATGTTAATATTTTACTAAAAGTTCGAATAGCAAAAAACCTGGATAATAAATAAAAATATGCTATCTGGTTTCTGTAAGGTTAATAATCAAAAGAATTCTTCTTATTTAACTTTTCCAAGAACTGATTCAAGAGATTTTTTGCATAAAAAGAGATCTGCGGAGATTGACTTGAGCGAAAACCGTTTGAATTCCCCTTTTCTTTATCATTTGTCCAGCGCAGCATTGAAAACCCTTTTGATTATTTTCTGCGATGATCGCTGCAGCACTTGTGTTGGAGGTTGACCGTTTTTCCGGTGAATAAACGAGCGTTTTGCCTTTTGTAAAAAATGCAGGGAGACGAATATATATCGCCGCGTCACATCACTCTGCGGAGAGCAAAGAGCATCGAAAGCGTCCCGCGGCTTCATTATTATTATGCAGCGATCTCTTTTTCTCCGCACTTGTGAGCGATTTTTGCCTCTGCGCAGCTTTTGTTGGATGTAAAATAATAGCAGGGTACATAGAGTCGCGCGCGATCGTTAAAATCTCTCCTTGTGTATTTTATCTGATCTTTTGATTATTGTGCAGTGGATCGTGAGAACGGCGCGGTGACTTACCTAATTGCCACCTCGGAAGCGCCACGCCTACTTCCGGCCTCTTTCTTCCTTTCTTCCGCTCTCCGTCGCGTCCCCTGCTCTTTCTTTCTTTCACTCACTTTTTGATCCTACATAAAATTTTACCGTGGGAATTGAATTTCTTTTCTCGCGTTTGCAAGAATCAAAAGTCTATAATATGCTTTTGTCCATCGCGGGAATATATTAAATTTCAATTTGTGCCGAGATGGAGTCGCTGGATTTCAATTAGTCGCCCGCCGGCAAGACTTCATAACGTCGATCTTCTTCTTCGCGTACTCTCTTGCAATTATTCTAATCGACGAACCGCTGCACGCGACGATCCTCTTTAACTCATCTATATTAATTCCAGCCAATTCTATTGAGCAGGAAACGCCGCTCTGCTCGGACGACGTTGATTGATTGCGCGACAAAAACGCTCTTCCGACTTTCAATTAATCCGAGGATTGAGAAGTTTCTTGTATAAAGATCCACCTCTTTGATTCATTTTGATTTTAACCAACAATTTCAATCATTTTCATACAATCGTAATTTTTATCAAAATCAATAAATAATTGCTATTATATCTATAACTTTGAAGTGAATTTAAATTTAAGAAAATAAATTGAATATTTGTAGCCATAATTTTTACATTAATAAAAAGTAAAAATCAATTATTTTTTTATGTCTCAAATGAAGGTAATGCGCATCTTTTCAAAAATAATGTATTTTAATGTAATTTAAAAATTATATAACTTAATAGAAAAAATAGAAATTTCCTCATAACTATTTTAGGTCCTTATTTTTTAAATTTTTTTATTCATGATGTGTTTTCTAATAGATTTATTTCGATAAAATGAAGCATGCGTTTTTCTGATAAATTAATTTTCTGCGAGAAATAGCTTTTGCGGAAAATTTCGAACAATATGATATGTATATCTTCCACCCTCCCCTGATAAATAAGAGGTTCCTAAATTATTGTCCAAAGTTGTCTTTCTTGATAATATTTATAATTAATTATAAAATGCATAAATTAATTTTTATAGTTTGAATATGTTTTCAGACCGGCCCCTTTGCTTTTCATCGGCTTTTTTTATAACATTTATATTGTGTTGCGCGCGCGGCGAGAAGAAGAATGCAGCAATAAAATAATCGATAAGAGAGCAAAAGACATGGGCGATGAAAAGTTTTGAGTGTAACAAAAAAGGGAGAGGAAGCAGAGCTGCTTCAAATATAAATTAATGATTGATTAAAACGCGCGGCGGCGAGGCGGCGGCAGATGTGAAAAGAGAGAGAAATGATATATCTGGTTGATAGTGCGTGCATGAAACGACCCGCATCACCGTTTCAAATCTCAAATATCATAACATATATAAGGATAATACGTACCCTTGCAATGAAAAGAAATACAATTCAAATTACCAATTAATCGAGCGCAGCGTAAAATACACGGCTGCTAAAAGAGGATAATATAATATATACTATCATGCTTTTTGTACATCATGGCAATTTAAAAAAAGATAAAAAAAAATCTAACAAAAAGACTCAAAAAGGAAATACAAAAATGCTTTTTCTAAATTCATAAACTGATGCTTATTATAAATCGTTTAAAATTATTTGTGAAACTATAATCTGTAAAATCTTCCAAATGCCTGGAAGTGCGCAAAAAGACATACACTTTTAATTGATTGTTTTCTTCTTTCAAAGTTTCAAATGATCAATACACTTTGAAATCAATATTATATTACTATGCAGCTTTTGTGGCAAAAGATCTTTATGAAGTCGACTAGAAATTAAACAAAATTTTGGACAAATATGTTGACAGGACGAACCATGTAATTTATAATTATATTAATTTTAACGTATCTTAAATATTAGAATTATTGGAAACTCAAATGGCGAACAATATAATGAAAATAACTGTGTAAATCACGTACCCAAAACAAATTGAACACAAATTCCAAACGTTGCCAAATTAGCAGAAATAATTTATATTTGTGTTGTTTAAAATTTAACATTTTGAAAATAAATTTTTGTGATAATTTTTGTTTCCACTTCGCTTTTCCATCAACCTGTATTCATAAAAAATCTAAAGTAATATCATTTCCACTGATTTCCACATAACAAAAAAATTAAATATAAAATAAAAATTGCTATTGAAAAAATTTGATGGGTCGTCATTATCATGCATTTTAATTTGAAACGGTGCGAGCGCTCTCACTTAAGGGTTTGATCGAATTACATTTGGTTTCATTTCGGAGGTATGATATATAGAAGAGTAGTCGGATTGGCTTCTTTTATATTCTTTGGTCGGCGGCGTTTGCGGCAATTGTCTTTTGGAATTCATCTGTGGGTCTGCGCGCTATTAGATGTAGCCCATGTTTTGGCCGCAGCGGGGTTCTGATTACTCGCGCGGCGCAACACAAAAAATGAATTTATTTCGATTGAGCAGCGCCGAGAGTAGCGGCCCCTTTTATTTCCACGCGTTTTATTATTATCACCGCGTTTCTCATTACACGAATTTCGCCTTCCATTGTTGCAGCGACGAGAGAAGCGACGACAATTTGACGCGCGCCCGAGAAACACGCGGCGCGGAACGAAATGTGGAGGGCGAATCTCTTGTAAACACTTCATTCGACGAAGGCAGCTTCAACTTTTTGCACAAGAAAAATGACAAGAGCAGAGCAAAAAGTGGTGGTGTTGTGACCTCAAGCATTGGAAGTGAGTCTGCAATTCTATTAATAAGCCTTTTTTATTCTTTTTTTATTCAATTAATCAGGGCGTTCTTTAAAAATAAGCTTCCAAATCAAATAAAAACTTTATCTCAGTATTAACACAATTCTTAAAAAGAAGCAAATTACTTTAATATAGAAAACTTCCCAGTAATTTCAAGCAAATGTCAATTAATTTTAAAATTTTGGCGTATAGAAACTCACTGCGCTGAAATTTTGTAAACCGTCTAAAAAACAAAAACCATCGACTAAAATTGAATTAAAAAGTCGTAAATATAATTTTTTTCTCCATCCAGCAGATGTAATGACAAAACACAACATCTTACATCATCAAATCAAATACATCAAAATAAAATTAAAAACAATTGCATGTTTATATATACGTTTCATGACTTATTCTCACAATTGATATATGTTAACTTTAATTATTTCAGCATGGGTTGCAGAAGTAATTTTTATTTTAAATTTTTTTCCATCCAGATCCCTGCTTGAGCTTTTATATATAATAAATGTTTTTTTTTTGTCTCATTGCTATTTGAATTCGTTTTGATCCGAATATTTTTAAATTTAATAGAGAGTTATGGAGAGTTATATCACCATTCACCATGCACAAAATGCCAAACTTTTGAGATCATAAAAAGACATCTCCCACAGCAGCGAGTCACGCTTGACTTTTTCAGATGAAAAATTTTTACTGGCTTAATTTTTGTTTGGAATTTAACTATAAAAATAGCATTATGAAACAGCAGGAACAAATTATATAAATTTAAGGCAGGAAAGATTGCGAAGACATAATAACGACTATAATTAAGATGAAATAAAAGGCGGATTCCAAATGAAGAGGAGCAAATTTGTTATTGATTTTTATTGTTTCTGCATAGATACAGCAACAATGAATTTGCTAATAGGAAGCCAGATTTTATTTCATCTTAAAAGGAAACACCTAAAGGCCATAAAGGGTTCCAAAATTTAAGAGATTTTTGTTACTATATTTGTCTTTCAAATGTATAGAATATCTTAAAAACTCCTGAATATTTATTTTATTTCAAATTGAATGAAAATTAAATTTTATAATTAAATAATCTGAGATTAATTTGATACTTTGGAAATTAGCCAGTTTTTTAAAGGGTGACGTGTGCGATAATTGCCAAGCTCAGTTAGTCGCAGAGGACAAAAGGACGGGGAGCGCGAAAAGGAGCGACTTGTTGAGTCGAATATACAGGATTTCCTACTTAGCGTGCTGGCAAAAAACAAAAGTGGTGTGATGGGTGCTGCTGGCTGGCTGGTGTCACGCTGCGCCGCGCGACAAGTGCCGCACTTAGCCGCCGGGGGGGTCACCGTCGGCCGCCGCCGCCCCACGACGTCGCCCAACCAAACACTTTTCCTTCCTTGCACATCCTCTCTCTCTCGGAATCCGAAAAACTCGAACCTTTCTTCCTGCAACATTCCCAGGAAATTCTCGCCAAACTCCAACATTGTTCAATGTTTAGCACTGCAAAAAAATAAAAAGTGCAATTCACTTTGGCGAAATTTGCATTTTAATTCTTATCAGGCGAATGCAAAGTAAGCGAAGTTTTATGTAATTGGGTTTTAAAATATAAAAAGGATTTATTAAACAATTTGTAAATTTTGTCCCTTATTCAAAAATAAAATAATCATAATCAAAATTTCAAAACTATAGGAACTGATCAATCCGTCATATGTGTATTAGGAAATAATTGTTTTTAAATAATAATAAATTTTAATCAATATATTTCGAAAGTGCTTATACAATATACTCATCAAAGGGATAAATAAAGCTTATATTTGCCGGGCCGCTTTTATTATAATTTTTGTACACTAATTGTTACTACGAAGATTACTATTAAGTAAGTATAATTTATTCGGTTTGTCGCAAAAATGATATGTTATCTTCATGTAATGAGACATTTTGCTTTATTAATACATCAATCATTTTCTTTTATATTTTTATAAAATACCTTAAAAAAAATGAATATGAATGCAAAAGTTGATACCAATTTTCATGAAAAAAACCTCAAGTTTTTAATTTTGAAACATGAATGCATTTAAAAAATTTAATAGAGTCCAAAAATTTAACCCATTCTTTATCTAACTTAATAGTTTTCAGACAAATGAAACTTTTTTTAAACTTATATTTTAGTGTGTGAAGCTGCACGACTTGAAATAATGTTGTGATATAATTTTGGTTAATGAACGTGCGTTTGAGGATGACGGAGATGAATCGGCGCGGCCATTCGCCGCCGCCGCCGCCGGTTGATATCAAACGCGCATTGTTGGCGCAGCAGATACCATTAGGCCCGCGCGTATAATAATTCGACGCCATTCAAAAAAGTAGATTTGGTGTTTGGAGCGGAGAGAATTGGATAAAGGAACGGGTGAAGAGAGAAGTGCAGGAGCGGCGGAACAAATGACACAAACGTCGCCGCCGCGCTCGGCTTCGTTTTCTCCGGAATGAGAGAACAGCAGCGGAACAAAAAACGAGAGACCAAATAAAAAGAATAACAAGTTGCACGTTGGCCGCCATTATTTTCCGCCTCGCTCCCATCGCCGCTTTTGTCTTACGCTTGCTTATCGCGTCGCCTCTGCCCACTCACGCATATACAAAAAACACACACAACCGAAACCAACGCGGATAAAATGGGCTTTTCATAAAGTATAAAAAGAGAATGCGTCTTCGTCAATCCAACCAGCAATCACAGTTTATAATTTCCATGTTTCCGTTGCATTTGAAGGTACCACACTCTATAATTTAATTGCATAATTGAGCGGATAAAATTTTTTTGAATTCCAATTCTTTTAAGGATGAGTTCTTCAAATTCAATAGCAATTTCTTACAATGCAGAATCGGACCCAAATTTTTAATTAAAAACGATTGAATTACAAATTTTTGAAACACTTTTGTAAACAGATTGAAGAATAAGTAAATATATTTTTTGGAATTCTAATGTTGAAGGAAATTTAAAAAAAAAATATGTGTTTCTTTTCATTGTAAATTTAAGTCAAAATAAATTAATTACTACGCAATTTTTGAAATTTTTACACAACTATCTTTTTAAGTTCATTATACACATGGGTGAAATAATCAAGGTCTAATGCGTTTTATAATTTTTTTTTTATCGAATATTTATTCAATAGTTTCAATACTGCTCCCAAAGCATCTCTGATGTTTCAAAAAACCATTTAAATCTAATGGAAAACTTGATGAGTTAGAAAAAAAATATGAAAATTTTACGTTTTGAATTGGAAGTTCAATTGAACACTGAATTCTTGTCGAAATAGCCCATTTTTCTGAAATATATTAATATAATAGAGCCTATATTATATAAGATTAAAGGACAAACACGTTGGAAATTTAGACTTATGTGCCCAACTCAATTTCATTTTTATAATTTATAACATACAATTTCAGCTGATTTTTTTCCCCGTCTCAAAAAAGAAAACAAAGAAAAAATTGTATCCATTAACACATGCACTGGTTTAATTATTGATGTTTCAATATCACCTTAAATTCTCTACTGGCAATAGAAAAAATTCAATTTTTATGCTCCATGTCATTTTGTATTATATGATATTTACTTTTATTACTTTGCGCTTATTAACTATTAATTTAACAAAAATGCAAGTTTTTAATGTTGTAATAAATGATAAAAAATTATATCATGCATTTTGTAAAAATTTTCTGAAAGTATTCAAACATCATAGATATTTTTTTCCACAATTTGATTATTTAATGAGTTTTGTCGTCGGATTATTTAGATGCGGAGATTTTTCTGACGTGAGAGAGCAAATACAAGAGTTTGTGTTTCTCTCTGTTGAGCATAAATTAATGCCGAGCAGCGCACATTAATAAATTGTAAGCTCATTTTCCCATCGCGCGCGTCTCTTCCTCTCTCTCTTGTTTTGTGTGTTTTATTTTTCTCGAGTCTTATATGATATTTATAGGCATGGAATTATTAAGGGGCCGCGAGTGTAACACTAATGAGCATCACGCTGCGCGCTACAAAAACAACCGAAATCCGCGGCCGCGCGTCTGAATAATTCATTAGAGCTTTTCTCAGCGGCCATTCTCTCTACTCTAATTTTATTGTTCCGAATCGCTCCCGACTCGAGAAAGAGAATATAACCCTTTTTAAAAAATAATATCAAACGCCATATAACTTTTCTTGATGGTCGAATCGCACGCACCCATAAAAAGTAAAATATTCTCGGTGGAAAAAATTAACGCGCGTGTTCTTTTGTGGCCAGTCGTAAATTTCAATTTTCCTCCTCTTGGCCGCTGAATATATAAAAATACATAATAAATTCGTTTCTTGATTATTTTTCACGCGATACCTCTTTTGCTGATGCGCAGAGAGAGAATAAATTTCGATTTATTTTGCTTCTCACAGAGGAGAGAGGAATTTTGTGAGGTTGCTGATTTTTATTTAGACGCAGTTGCTGATTATTACTTTAGCGCCAATTAGGGAAATGAAGCGTTATTTGCAATGGGCGTGTGTTTTCCTCTATGAAACTTATGAAAAATGTAATAATAAATAAGAAAAATATATGTGAAAAAGCTATAGCCAATATGAAAATCTTTGCAATGAGGAATACACACTTCATTGAATTTGATGATTGATTCTATTTCAAAGATTAATTTACTATTTTAAACTAAAATATGGTGAATAATATGAATAATTTTATTCTCTCTTTGCCTGTTCATTTTTGTATTATGAAGTAGAATGGTTGAAAGAGTTTGAAAAAAAGTGGCGACTTACTTTTTGGCATTGTGGAGCATTCCTCAGCGGGCAAATCAAGATTGAATTGGACAATCAACGGAAGACATGTGACTCAACAGCATCTGAAAAAATTAAAGATTAACTGATCAAAAACAGATGGTAAATGTCAATTTTTTCATAAGTAAAAAAAGTTCACTTTTTAAAACAAGGAAAGAGCTCAAAAAAGTCTCCCGCAGGAACCTATAAAGAG